CGTCGAGTACCCCTTAAGAAATGAAAAATTGCTTTATTTAAATCACATACCAGAAATGGGGCGTTACAAAAACGAGCTGCATTCCCTGCAAAATAAAAACCAACCCAAATCACACCCTGCACCACAAATTTCTCACAACCCTGTCAGAACTCACTTTTCCACGTTTTACACAATACACCTAGACTAAAATATCTTCTCAATGTCAATCTTGCAATGAATAAACTTATATATTTTTAACACATTCCATATTAGATAAACAACAATAGATTCCATGAATCTCATTATAACTATAATGATGTACATCCATATAGTCATTCCATATTAGATAAAAGACAATATAATTTGTTGTAAATAAACATAACCAAAACAATGGTTTGATAGATATTTTTTCAAACTACTACCATTTGATGCAACAGCTAATGTGCTCCAATGTAGATTGGATTAATGGATTGGTGGTATAATAATAAATTTAGAACTTCTTTACATACAAACAGTGGACATGTTTAAACTTTAAACACATATATTGAAATCATTATAGTGTATACACCCTATCAACAGCAAGTCTCCATACTTTTCGAAGAAACAAGCTAAGGAAAGACTACATGACCAACATCATTGCCATGATTCAGTCTAGGAGTTGGATCCTCGGGGATGAAAGCATAAGAGGAGTGCCATTTTGAATGGGTCCTGGCCTTATTGAGGCCTTTGAGCATGGAACGGGATTGATCATGTGATAATCGAACAAATCTATATATATGTTGCTTTCATCATCAAGATCGTTATCCTTTGCCGGATTTAAAATCATGTATCAGACAAGACAACACAACAGTAACATAACACAAGCTTCTACTTTTGATTCAGTCCATGCAAGTTACGCCTTTTAAAAACAACCGATTCTTATAATATATTCAAGACTTAAAGATAATGTGTTTGTATTTTCCTGTCCTTTGTAGTTTCAATTTTCATGCTTCCCATAACAAAAATAATTGTTAATGTGTTTGTATTTTCTTTGTAACTATGTAAGAAATAGTTATAACATATATTAGCCGCTAATTTTTTGTATTTCTTAGTTTTACTTTAATTGTTGATGCTTGTATTTCTTAGTTATTTTTTAGTTCATGAATTGACTTTATTTACTTTATGATGTCTTTAGGTAAAAAAAAAAATACAAAACTCAAGTTGTGTTTGAGATTGTTTATTTAAAATACTTTTTTAGTAAAATTGTTTATTAGTTTTTCTCGTGTTAAAATCGGCTTTTAAAAAATGTTTGAATTAGCTTACCTAGTACCGATAAATTGTTTTTTAGTGTTTGATATAATGAGGGAATTAATGCTTTATCAAAAACCTTTTAAATAAGTCAATAAGCTATGCTAACAGTTAAAACTCCTTATACAAACCAAAATAACTCAATAATTACTCCAAATAAATAATCCCACCCACCCTTAAATCTAGATACTAAATAGTAGTAGCGTTTAGATATGAAGTTTCCAAGAGGAGACGAGCTCTTCAATGTCTGCTTCGGTTACAGTAATCCCCGTCGATTCATTACGCTTCATCTCTTTGATTCTTGTCTTCTTCTCCAATATTTGAAGCTCAAGACCCACGAGAAGGTCCCATGATCTAGCAGCCTGCTGAGCGTAAAAAGTTGGCAAGTCAAATTTAGAAAAAAAACGAGCAGCATAAAATATAATATAATATAATATAATACCTTTTTTAAGTCCTTATCGCGAAATGCGGCGATTTCCCCTTGGCATTCCAATCTAAGCTCTCTCAACCGTTTAAGTCCTTCCAGAAGGTCACGGTAGTTTAGACCTTCATTTTCGTGCTTTCGGCAAACCAATGAACCGGCTTCATCGATTAAATCAATAGCTTTACCAGGACAACCGCGCTCACTATATATGGATACAGGTAAAACAAATTAAAGAATATATATATATATATATATATATATATATATATATATATATATATAT